TTTGCTACATACAAAGTATCCATGTGCAGAGCGCATTTGGTTGCCACATATTACTGACAGAGAACTTTCCCAGTGAATTTTCCCAGTGATTATGCATTACATCATTGTTCTAGCAATTATGCAGACACATCATTATTGCAGTTATGCAGACAAATCATTATTCTAATAATTGTTCAATTTTACTATATTATTATATTAGATCCAAGTGGTGATATGATTGCTGCTTCACTGAACGACTGAAATTCCAGTCCTAACTGGTCATAAATTGAGGACATCTCTCCTAGAGATGTAGGGGTCAGGTGTACTGAGCAGCCTTCATTGGGCTGGAAGACTTTCAAGGTCCCTTCCAAGGCCAAGATTTTGTGTTTCTCTACATGTCTCAAAAGGAGATATTACTCTTCGCTTCTTTCTCCTTCTAACAGGGGATAAAAGATTGTGAGCAAAGATTCACCTGCAAGCCAACTATCAACAGATAATAGAAAATTGGCACAAGGCAGCAGTCACCAAAAAGCATGGAGAGTGGGAAGCTCTTGGATCCCCCGTCAGACACAAGCAGCACTCTGAAAAACCACCAAGGAACCCATGAATGCTCAGAGTGTGGGAAAGGCTTTGCTCGCTGGTCCCTCCTTTTGACCCACTGGAAGGTCCATGTAGGGAGCGGATCCAGTCAAGATTTGGAAGGTGAGAAATCCTTTTTTGGAAAAGGTGCCAAAGATCTCAGAAGCTCCCCCAGATTAAAACCCCATAAATGTGAGGAATGTGATTTATGCTTTGGTCAAAAGTCAAACCTTCTTAGACATCAGAAAATCCACACTGGAGAGAAACCTTATCAATGTCTGGAATGTGGGAAATTTTTCCGTGAAAAAGCCTGTCTCAGAGACCACGAGAGAATTCACACAGGGGAGAAACCTTACGAGTGTTGGGAATGTGGGAAGAGCTTTCCTCGGAAGGCAGATCTTTGGCACCATGAGAAGATTCATGCAGGAATAAAATCTTACAAATGCTTTGAGTGTGGAAAATGTTTTACCGACAATGTATCTTTTCGGAAACATTTGAAAACACACAGAGGGGAGAAAAACAAAAAGTGCCCTGAATGTGGGAAATGTTTTGCCTTGAAATCACAACTGGTGCAACATCAGAGACGTCACATGGGAGAGAGACCCCATGAATGCCCAGAATGTGAGAAACGATTTGTGTATTCTTCTGAACTTCAGAGACACCAGAAGAGTCACAAAGAGGAGAAACCGTATAAATGTGGGGAGTGTGGGAAAAGTTTTATTACCCAAAAAGCATTTCAGGTTCATGAGAGAATCCACACGGGGGAGAAACCATTCAAATGTGTGGAGTGTGGGAAATGCTTTACCCAAAAACACCACCTTGCAACGCACCAGAGGCTCCACACAGGAGAGAAGCCATACAAATGCCCAGAGTGTGGAAAATCTTTTGCTTATAAGGATGTACTTTGGAATCATCATAAAACCCACACAGGGGAGAAGCCCTATCAATGCAACGAATGTGGAAAATTTTATCGTACCACATCAACCCTTTGGAGTCATGTGAAAATTCACACAGGGGAGAAAAACTACAAATGTTTAGACTGTGGGAAAGCATTTGCTCATTCATCTTCCCTTAGAACTCACAGCCGAATCCATACAGGAGAGAAGCCCCATAAATGCTCAGAGTGCAATAAATATTTTTCTCAAAAAAATAATCTTGTGAGACATCAGCGAACCCACACTGGAGAAAAACCATATAACTCTCTGTAGTGTGTGAAATGTTTTGCCCAGTCTTCATCACTTCGCAAGCACACCAGAAATCACACAGGAGGGTGGCCTTACAAATGTGCAGAGAGTGAGAAACTTTTTAATTGTAAATCAAAGCTAAAAAGACATCAGGAAATCCATAGTAGAGATAAATCTCTTCTGTCATGAACAACGTGGGAAACATTTTTTATCAAATGTACCACAAAGTGACAGAAGGGAAACTCTACAATTGTTTGGTGCGGGGAAAATATTTTTCTGAGTAACAGTGTCTTAAATACAATTGGAGAGTACACACTAAAGCAAAAGGGCATTAAGTGTGAGAAGGGTTTGGCTCACAAAGCAGCAACATTGGTAACTTACCAGAGACATTACACAAGAGAAAAGAGTTACAAGTGTTGGGGAGGGTAATTATGTTTTGCAGAGTGCTCCTAGTCCTCGGCGTATGGTGGAATTGGGAACAGATTTGTTGTTGTAGCTTTATACAGTCGTCCATCAAGGCACCCATATGATTGGTTATGATTTTACAACATTTTTGTGATCATTATGTCACTGCAGTCCTAGGTGCAAACTTCCACCCTCTCGTATTCCCAGTGGAAGAGGCCCAAGGGACCCGGGTCGCCAGCTCTTAAATGGGACAGGAAATCCTCTTTCAGGATTCTAAAATATAACTTTTAAGGTTTCGTGGATCTTTTGTTTCTCTGGGATCTGTATGGAACCATATGTTCCACTGGGAATACGAGAGGGTGGATAAGGGGGCAAAAGAGACCCTGAAGCTTAAGTGGCATATGGAGGATATTTTCTCTCTCTAGAACCTTATTTTAATAACATTCAGGCGAAGGTACTTTTTTCACGCTTTACCACAAAATCATTCCTGTCCATCGTACAGCCTGAATAAAATCATTTATACTATCTTATAGCCTCTTGTTAATTTGTCCGGAGTGCACGTTTCCCACATTGTTTACCACAATGGTGAATAGTGTTAAGGGAAAGTTAGCTCACTTCTTGGGCGGAAAGGGAATCATAGTTTAAAGTCGCCTTCTGATTCTGGGGCAGCAAAGTCCCAAAGCATCATGGCAGCTCCCAGCCTCTTTGGACTTAGCAGACCCTCCTCGCCTCTCCTTCTCCGCCCCCAGGGAAGTTGTGACTGAAATATTTTGCAGTTATATTTGATTTGTAAGCGAAATGGGTAAAATGTTTTGTGCAGAGCTTTTTATGGAACTGAAACAAGAAGGAATTCCAGAAGGAAGATGAAATACTGGCTGAG